GGCGGCCAATCGTGGGCGGGCGGCGTGCCAGGGGCGCGGCACCTGCGGCCAATGAGGGTGAGGCGGGGCTCCACCTGGCCAATCCCTAGGGCGCCGACGGCTGCTGCCCAATGGGAGCACGGGGCGGATTACCTGTCGGGCGGGGCGGGGCCACCTGCTGCCAATGGGAGCGTGCGCGGCGCGGCTCTGCCTGGCGACGCGGCCGCTAGGGGCGGCCCGGGACCCTGAGCCCGCGGGGTTAGGTGCTCGTCCCCGGCCCACCGGGTGAAAAGGCTGTCCGCTCGGACGCGTCGTGGCCGCGGGTCAGAGGCTCTGGTCTAGGACAGCGGGCCGGGGTAGGAGCGAAGGGCAAGAATCCGGGGAAGGACCCCAAACCCTCCGGTCCCTGCGAACCGCAGCTCCCAGGCAGGGAAGGGTTGTCTACACTCGCTGCCTCCGCCCCAGTTTGCTTCTCGGCCTAGACGGATCCTGTACGCTGTGAAGACGTCCGAGCCTTCCGCTCCCGTGCCAGACCCCGCTGCCGCCTTCTCGGCGATCTCGGAGGCGGCCCTGGGCTGGCGGACACGGGCCCTGCGGCCCGGATCCGGTGCTGTCTCCGGAGGCGGGCGCAGCGCGCGCCTGTTGACAGCCGCCCGCTCCCCTGCCGAGGGAACCCGAACCCTGCACACCCAGCGGCGCGGGTGCCGCCGGAGGGGCCCTGCCGGCTCCCAGCCCCGCTGCCCTTGCGCTTGCTGTGTCTTCCCCCCACCCCCACCCCCGCCGCCGTCAGGAGTCCACTCTGGCTGCCGGCCTCAGCACTTCCTGAGGCCTGGGAAGGGCACTTTGGGGGCGCAGCCTTCCTAGAGACCGGGGCCTCTGCATCCCCGGAACGTCCCCCAGGGTGGTCTGATCTGTGCAGGAGGTTGGAGGGGCCAACGGGTGTGTTCCCCTTGTCCACTGGACACCACTTCTTGGACCTTCCCCACCCAAGGCCCCACTGGACACAGCACCTGAACCCCAGCCAGGAGCTAACCAGGGGATGCTTCCTGGGGAGCTAAGGGGGTCCTTTATGGGACCCTGCTTCCCGCATGCTACTGGAGATCATCCGTGCCCCCACTCCTGGTGGGGACAGGCCGAGGGGCCCTGGCTGGGTTGGGGGGCGAGGCAGTGTTTTCTACAGAGGTTGTGGAGGGAGAGGGCACCTACCCAGGAGGGGGGCCGCGTGGGGTCCCAAGGCTGCAGGGCCAAGGGCCCCTCCCGTCCTACACCGGGCTGGGCGGGTGGCAGCCTCTGTGTTTTGGATCTAACTGGTGACAGGGCTGGGACACAAAGCCCCACCCTGGCCCTCCTCTGCCTCCAGACGCAGGGCTGGGTGCTTGGGAACTGCCAGTGCCGGGCAAGCAGGGGAGCAGTCCGGAGGGAGGGCGGCACCCTCTCCTGCCTTGCTGGCACCGTGTTGCCTAGTGACAGACACAAGTGTTTGTTTGCAAATTCGCGACACTCTGTCAGGAAGAGCCCGCTGGGTCAGGAAAGCAGGAGCAGATGCAGGGCTCTTAGGGCCAGAGTTCGCTGTCAGCACCTCCCTGTCACTGCCGTCACCTGGGAGTCACAGTCCTGCATAGTGGAGGTTTCGAGGACTCCCCGGAAGCTCCCAGAGCAGGGCAAGGTGACCCTTGGACTCGCACGGGCAGGAGCGGAAGTGGCTTTGCTGAGCACTGGCCCACCTGAGAAGGCTCCGGGGGCTGAGGGCAGGTCCTCGCACCTCGGGGTAGTGTCTGCCCTCCCGGCGTGTTGCAGAGATGCCACAGACTTCTGCAATCGCAGTGGATTTCCAAAGTTATGAAATAGCAGGTCTCAAAAGCGCTTCAGGCTTCTCAAGCTCCAGGACCGGTCCTGGGTTGTGCTGCTGCTTCCCAGCGGGGCGCCCACGCCTCGGCCGGCCTTCCAGTCTAGGGACCCAACAGGTTGGGGTGGCTTGGTGCTGCACCCTTGCGAAGGAGCTGAGGAGAGGACCCTGGCTGAGGAAGGGCTGAGCGGGGTGGAGGGTGCCCCCAGGCAGGGTGGGGCACCCGGGAGGCAGGCGCCAGGTTTATCTTCGGTTTCTTTGTCCAACGTCCTTGGGATAGGATCCTCTGAGGAGGGCGTAAGCTCCCCTGACTCATTTCCCCAGAGAGCGTTCCTGCGGGCTGGGGACACCCTTCTCTCCAGGCTTCCCAGGTGTGAAGCCGACCCTGGCAGGCCCTGCTGGCTAAGGAAGCGCCCAGAGCCTGTGCTGACAGGTGCTTGGCGCTCCGCTGAGGGCGGGTCGGGAAGCAGATGCTTCCTGTCTTTGTGGTGAGCCCTGCTTGCTGGTGGAGACACATGTCCTGGGGTGGCAGATCTGCTGGCGAAGGGAGAAGCGCTCTCAGGAAGGAGAAGGGGTGGCAGTGCAAAGGCCCCGAGGACCGGAGCAGGGCGGTCAGAGAAAGCCGAGGCAATGGAGGCTGTGGAGGGAGGGTGCGTGGGAACCGGGGACCGGACAGGGCAATGTGAGGCGGAGGTGCAGACAGCGCCAGCGCGGGTATGTGCGTCTGTCTTGTGCGCGTTTCTGTCCAGGTAGCCTGTCCTGTGGCCAGGAATGCGCGTGCCCCACCCGGCGCGATGGCCCGGGCGTCCCCACTGCCCGCCGAGTCCCTAAGGCGCTGCGGTACCGTTCGTGCCCGGGAGGGGGCGCGGGAGCCCGGGCGAGGAAGGAGCGGCCCGCGGGGGGCGC